CTCTCTATTTAACTCTTTTTCTTTTCATACTAAATTGAACAAAGCTTGTTTGTAGGAAAACAAATAATACGCTTTTTAACGAAGAAAGACAAAACATAAATAAAAAATCAACAGCAAATGAGAGATGGGAGAGTTTAGTCGTTGACAATGTATCTACATAGTACGTGAATTTTTATATATTTTATTGATGATGCCATTTGAACGTTGTGTTGCTATGTAAACGTACACCAGAGAGACCGGTAGAAGAAGATAGATAGATAGATAGATAGAGAGAGAAAGAGAGAGAGAGAGAGAGAGAGAATACAGTAGAACCCACTAACGTAAACAGACTACAAAGTCAAACGTGTAACCCAGCTGTATGAGCGTACACGCACGATTCACTCCCTCCTGGCCACACCCTGATACACTAATACAAATTCACACAATCACAGACACACACACATATATATATACACACATAGAAATAGTAGAATACACAGAGAGAATGACCAATATCTTCACAAAACACATTCCCAATCGATGAGGGGATGTGTTACTCTCGGTTACCATCAAAGTGGTCGTAACCCTTTATCGTAATCTTTTGACTGGGAAGATCAAAGGGCCCTCTATCATCATCACCTTGCATTCTCTCTACTACCGTCAGTATTGTCTTAACATAGATTATACGAATATATACTGAATTCGAATTGAACATTTGAAATTCATTCACGTTCGATCGTTTAAATTTTAATCGTTCTCTACCTCTCCCATCACCGAGTCTCGCCCCACACCCATCTATTATTTTTCTATCCTCGTAATTCGACAATTTTTTCTATTACGCGATGTAAGAAATTCTATTGGATTGTCAGTAAAGTTCGTGCCGATTTTCGATAAGTGGTATGAAGTTGTTTTTTTTTTGTTGTTGAAAAATTTGAGAAGTTTTGCAAAGATAAAATTTGGAAATTAACCATAAAAATGGAGAAAGATTTGTAGAACATAATGACACTTATATATAATTTCTTCTTCTTCTTCTTAGGATTTTGTCCTGTTATTCCTAAATTTACAGCCTAAAAAGACTATTTTGTTACTTCCGGGAGCAATTACTTTTGTTTTTACCGAGGGTAGGTTGCTAGCCTCACCCTCGAACCCTCCTTCTTTATCTGGACTTGGAACTAGCTAGTTATTATTTAGATATCTAGATATTAACTAGACGGAGTTATATATAATTTAATAAATATATATATATATAATATAAATTTATTAAATTATATATAATTATTTATAATATATTTATAAAAACCTTAAATGTGCTTTACGTTTCAATCTCTTCCATCAAAATCGGCACGAACTTTCCCGACAACCCAATACTTGGAAAAAAAAAAATAAATAAATAATTAAACGATTAATATTTTAATTGCTAATTTCGGAATATGTGTGTTCATCTTTTTTTCTTGTTTTTTCTTTTCTTTTTTTTTGAAAAATAAAAAGGACATCCTTTGTTCGAAAATCTCGTCCGACGACATTTAATTCCAGAGAGAGAGAGAGAGAGAGAGAGAGAGAGAAAGAGATAGAGATTATACTCATGTAAATAAAAGATACTTTACGTTGGTAGACTGACCTATATAATTTCGTTAAATTATTTATTCTCAACTCCTCGTTATTAGCAAAGAGAAGAGAAGAGTACGACCACGTAGGACGGTTAGAAATTTTTCAAGTGTCTTTTCTTTGTTTCTAAACGAGCTTTAAAACATTAAAAAAGAAAAAACAAAACGAACATGGAGCTTATTCATATTGAAGACAACTATATATACCAACCTTCGTATTATTATCAGAAATTAGACAAATTCGTAAGACGTGTATTTGAATGTACATTGTAAAACGAAAAATTTGGTATGTGTAACGCTACAATTCTCTAAAAAAATATAATCTACCGTGTAAATTGAATCTCGTGTGACAAATGGATGATAAATATTTTATTTTTTATATTCTTCTATGTATCTCTCTCTCTCTCTCTCTCTCTCTCTCTCTCTCTGTTTTACTCTGATATTTCTTTTTTATGTTAAAACAAATAAAAAATAAAATTGTATTCAATTGTTTCAGAAATACGGAAATATATCTTCGACGTTTCACGAACTATAACGATTCCTTTGTTATAGAATATCTTTCTATGACCACCAATTTATCTTACTATCTAACTATCTATCTATCTAGCTATGMTAGGCTAGCTAGCTAGCTAGCTAGTTATCTGTATGCATATCTCCGAGCTTTGTGATAGAAGCGTCGAAAAGGGGGGGTGGTGGTAGGTGGTGGGTGGTGGTTGGGTGGGGTTAAAGTTAATAATGCTTCATTGTTTTCACGCATGCTTCCCATGTACGAACCGGATCGAACTGAAACACGTATGACGAGGCTTTGTTTAACAACGAGAGAGAGAGACTGACAGAGAGAGAGAGAGAGAGAAAGAGCTTTAACTTTATCGTTGGGAGTTTAATAAATCTCTTTACTCGAATCACATATCTCTTTTTCTTTGTTATAGAAAAAAAAACTCACAAATACCAGCAAATAAGCACGGTTAAAAAAAAACAAAGAAAGTATATCCCCATAGAAAAAGATAGAGAGAGAGAGAGAGAGAGAATGATGATTCATTCGTATTTTATTACTAAAACCAGTGATAAAAGTTACTCGTTACGTACGAATTGTTAACAAAGTAACTGTGAACTATGTATGAATATTAGATTACATTTTGACCCTGACTTATTTGTTCTAATTGACTAACGATTGATAACACACAAATATATATGTATTTGATTTTTAGAAATATATTTTTTTTAATTTAATATAATTGTACAACTATAAAAAGACAAAGTGTAATGAAGTTGAAGAAACAATGTGTTAGTTTGTATTTATGAATTTATTTCAATTAAAATAACAAATGTCATTCGTACTTCATTTTCTAGGTAACATTGAATTTATTTCAATATTTCTATTACATAAACAAGAAAGAGAGAAATAATATGGAATGAACGTAATCAAAATATGATTTTAACATTATGGATTATTTAAAATATGAAGAAAAATATATATATATATGTAAAGAAAAATTAATCGAGAATAGATAGATGATAAACGTAAAGAAAATATTTTCATATGTTTTTTTTTTTTTTTTAAGAGAGAGAGATGATAAATGGGTATAGGTAGTAGTATCTTTATTCTATATTTTCTCATCTAACGTACCGATCAAAAATTAGGAGTTCAGTTACCCAGGTATAATACACACACCTATAGCCCATGGTTATTACTGCGGGGAGTTTTCGTATGCGTCAGAATTTCGAAGTTACCCTTTCGCAAATGTTCTTCATGAAATTCCGTGCTCTCAACTGTAAGGTATGGTTTTATCCCTTGGGTAATTCGAATCGCACCTCGTTGAGAAAGCAAGGAAGATTTGTTTTTCCAACCAAGAGCAACAACCACCACTACCACCACCACCACCATCACCACCAACGTATTTGTGTGGGTGTGCGTAAACGTGTGATGAAAATCATTATTATTAAACGTACTGCTCGTTTTTTCTTTCCCTGATCTTTCTACAAATGAAATATTTTTCAAGTGTGATTCCAATCAAATAAGAAAACTATGAACATTTATTAATATTTAAATATTATACTATGCTATTAAATATATAACCATTTTATAATATAATATACTATAATATTATTAAAAGATTATATTGTATAAGTCACTACTTTTGGTAAAGTTACTCCGAATGTAAGGTTTTTTCCGAAAAGTAGTGAGGTTTTTTTATATATATAACGTTATCTATTGCTAGGTAATATATTAACGACAATAGAAGATATCGTTTAATTCTATTTAACGGTTTGATGAAATAGCATTGCTAAAAAAAAATTCGTTTCGTCTAGTCTCGTCTCGTCTCGTCTCGTCTCGTCTCGTTTCGTTTCGTCTCGTTTCCTTTCCTTTCTTTTCTTTTTCTTTTTGAATGTAATATCGGCATGAATCGAAGGTAAAATAAATAACAAACGGGAATGGCTCTTATAACCGTGTCGTTTCAATGGAAGACACGATATAATGGATATGCAAATAACGAAGACTTCATTGTCATATCGAGTTTGTAGCATTACTATTATATTCTTTGACGACGATGACTATGACGACGACGACAACTATGACGACGACAATGTCGACTCATTTTGCAATCGTTGGGATTGTAAATACCAAAAAAAAAGAACTAGTAAAAAAAAAAAACAATACAATAAGGAAACCAAGAACACAGAAAAGAGGAAATGACTAATATCAAAACTCAATAAACGTTGAATTCCCTGAAGCAAGAAATATTCCAAGAAGGAGTCAACGATTGGTGAAATGGATGCTGGGACAGGAGGAAGGGGGAGGGAACAGGGGAAATGGTATTAACGAGAAATACTAAAATACTATTGTTGATATACTTAATTATAACTGTGAATACTAACCGAGTCACTTTACATTGTCATTGTTTCACCACGAATCTTCCGTTACCACCCACTAAACACACACACACACATTATTGTGAAAATCTAAAATAATCTAAGATACGGAAATAAACTGCAATTGTCCAAGCGAATGATTTCTTCTATTATCATTAAAAATGAAATTGTAACCAAAAATTTTGTAGATAAATATTAATGCATTTTCTTGCATTTATTTATGAGTGCAACATTTATTTCATCTTTTATCAAACAATATTTATACGAGAATAATCAATTTTACTGTGTTGAAATTCGTATAATATTTTTTCTTCTTGATTTTTTTTTTCCAGCATTTACTAAGTTATATGCCATATTTCATTCTATATTATTATTATTTTTTTTTTTTTTGGTGTTTCTTCGTTATAACACGTGATAATATTTTGTAGTTTTTATCCTAGTACACGAGAGTTATCTCACAAGATAATATAGTAAATACTTATAAGTTACGTTAGTGTTACACGAAAGTTGAAGTGTATTATCGTTATTTTCTTCTGTATGTTTCAGCAGGCGAGGGTGCCCAATATTTTCGGTTCAAACCGAGGGATAGTTCCGTGTTAGAGGGTGGCGAGGTGATAATCCAGTGCGAGGTCGAAAACAGGGTCGGCATTGTTCAGTGGGTCAAAGATGGCTTTGCTTACGTCATACAAGCGAGTAAGTATTGCTCATGATAAATAAAAAAGCTCGTTAAATAGTTACAATATATTGTTGTTGTTGTTGCTGTTTCTAATGTGTTACTTCAGTTTTTATTCATGTAGTAGTACTACACACACATTAACTTATTTTTTCTTTTTTTTTTTTACATACACTTTCCTATTTTGCATCACGAATTTTTGAAATATTATATTTGTTCTTTTTATTCTGAGAACAAAGTTTTATTTCTTTTTATTATTATTATCATCATCGTGCTTCACACGAAAACTCAACTTCATCCTCATCAAAATTTGTATTCCCGTGAGATCGTAGACGTGAGTATTTTTTCGTGACAACAAAATTTCGATAACATATTTCTATTTGTTTATTTTTAATAATTTATAGAGTGACACGAAGACTCGATGTACGAAAGGATGCAAAACTAAATAATGTTGTTTAAACAAAAAAATTGGATAATTTTAATAAGCCTCCACTTTTAAATGTCCAATTTTAAATGACATTCTTGGTAATGCATCCCTTAAATTAATACTCGTATCTCGATCTAATAATTTCACTGCAAAATTTAAATTATTATTAAATTTGTAACAATATTATTATAATCAACTTTTTTTTTTTTCATGATATATGTTTACGATTGTCCGGATAACTTTATTTGACAATACTTATTCCAACATAGATATATAAAGTTTTTAATTTAACCTTTTTTCTCTCGTGTTATACTCTCAAAACTCTTGAAGTTACTTCAAACAGGAATTTGCAATTTTTTAATTCAAACGACCGGAGAACGGAGAGAAGGGAGAAAAGTTTCTTTAGAGAAACGACAGAGGTGTTTGGGTGGGAAATGTTAGAGGGTGGAAGCGTGGAAGGGTATAGAAGGGCGTGAGAGGGGGGGGGAGGGGAGTAGAACCTAGCAGCGTAAATTTAATCGTTGCCGCTAGCACCAGAGCATATTTCGTTCTCCTTTTCCTTTTCATGTAAAACCGTTGGCAACTCATCGTTGGTTGACTTCTTTGTTACGACACGACGCGCAATCAGTTTGTTGGGTTCGTGTGAAAAGTAGAGATTTTATCTCGCCCATCTCCCTCCACCCTTCCCTATTCCCTCATTCTCCCTTTACTTCTCTAATAACATTAAATGAATATCGCTCTCTCTCTTTCTCTCTCTCTCCCTCTTTCTCTATTGCAAAAAGGAATATTATTTTTCGTTGACGTATTAATGACATTACCGTTTTTACGATAATTTTTTTTTTTCACATTTCATAGGGAAAATAATTCGACGGATTATAAAGTACGTTAAAAATAAAATAATGTTATCAAAAAATATATTAATATAAATAAACTACGGATGTTTATGCAAGTTAAATTTATATATATTAGAATATATAATAAATATTTATAAAAAAATATTTAAATTATTATAATTAAATAGTAAATTGTTTTAATTGAATTTTCTTTGTTCTTTTTTTTTTTTATACGCAGATGGTGAAATCGTTGGTCATCCAAGATTGAGACTGATCGGTGATCAAAACAAGGGATTTTATAATCTCAAAATTATCAATGCTTCTCTCACCGATGATGGAGAATATCAATGCCAAGTTGGACCATATTTACGAATCAAACCGATTCGTGCGAACGCTCATCTCACCGTAATTTGTAAGTCATTAATATTATTATTATTATTATTATTTCATGTGCATAACTTTTTCCTTCATTGCTAATCTTTTATTAATTTTATTAAGTAGTAAACATTATTACAAAAATAAAACGCTAAATAAGTTAAAATAACGTAAGAATAATTTTGATGACATTTTTATTAATTAAATTTGAATATTAAAAAAGAAATTTTTTTTAAAGAAATTTTAAAGATTAATTTTTAAAAAAGATTAACTACAGTGCAAAGAATAAAAAGCAGTTTAATTATAGATTGCATCGTTATCTCTCTCTCTCAAAAAACAAGAAAAGAATTCATTTGGTAAATAATTTCTAATCTTGATTTAAAAAAATTTGTATTGTCTTCTACTCGATTACAATTTTTGGGTATAAATTTTTGTTGGGACAAAAGAAAAACGATCAATTTCCATTGCTCGTCGTATCTCCCTTCTTTCTTTGTTTCTTTTTGTTATAAAAAAAAGTAACAAGTACTTACTTTGTAAGAAACAGTCTACGTGGGGTTTGGGCTCATTCAAAGTCTATGCACTTTCCGAGAGTTTTCCCTTCGAGCAAGAGAGAAGAGGACCCCGTTTGTCCCGAGCACCGTTCTTAATATTTCACACGAAACGACGCCGGCTTTAGCCCTCCTGGGCATCGTTCCATTTCAGAAGGTCTACCGCAAAACGGGCCGAAAGTGTTGCAAAACCCTCCGTCCGATACCGAAAACTCTGAACGCTAACTTTCCTATACGGTTTTCTCTCTCTATATATTCTTATTTATAGATAATAAATTAAAACTTGATGAAATAAAAAATTAATATATACATTATTACGATAAACATAATCTCATTTAAATAAATTTAATTTAACAACGTACCTATTTATCACACCTAACCAATATTTCAAAGCAACTTTATAATTTTATGCATGACACTTATATCATTTTTTCATCATTTTCATTTAAACATTAACATAACGTTACAAGAAAGTATTATAAAAAATATAATCTTCTTAATATATATATAAATTACGTGTCACGTTGCTTGTACGCAATGAACTCCTACACTACTGAACCGATTTTAATCAAATTTTCCACACTGTGTGCAGTTTTATCCAACTTGAAAGATAGGATAGTTTATATCTCAATTTATAATTGCAATTGACTTAAAGACGTGTGTATCGGACCGATTGTGAGCCATAGCAACGCATGGCGAGGCACCCCCATGAGTATACATAAATATATTTACATATTTTTTGTCCCGCTAATCAAAATAATATAAAAAAAAAATAATTATTGATAAAACTCATATGTTCGTTTCATTTAAATATTAATTGAATAAACGTGTTGTCGCATTTAAACGATTAATTAAATGTAGAAGTTTGATAATTCCATATTTTGGAATCAGTTGAAAGTATTGATTTTTTGGTCGTGTGCCACCGCAGACGAACGTTAATTATGATAATCCTTTAGATCGTTGTTGATCGAAGACATTTCGTCCACGATATAAACTGCGGTATGGTGTTGAATGGCAGATAGGTATGTAACGGACAATAGAAATTTAGCGCGAATCTGTGATAATGGATGAAATTTAATCCAAGAGTAATGCAGGGATTAGCTTTTAAGAGTATATGGCTTTATTCGAAAGGATTTCTCTCGAGGCTTATGGTTAAATAACGAAATCACAATTCTATATTGTTGGTCTACAAGAGAAGGGGGGGGGGAAGGAGGAGGAGGAGGAGGAGGATCACTACTCTCTAAATCCTGATAATCAAATAATAAATTAATCCTACGGTAAATTGGTCAAATGATTTCTAAATAAACGATTAATTGTTTTATTCGTTTGTTTGTTTGTTTGTTTTTTTTTTTGATTTTGCAAAATCATTTTGATAATTCATTTCTCCAATGTTATTTTGACTCAATCTCTTGAAAATTACAATAATTTATTTTTCAAATATATATATGTATTAATGAGAATTCTTGTAAAATATACATTATTCGCGTGTAATCATTAAATATGGAAAATATATTATATAAAAATAGATGAGAAAGTTCGATTCAATTTTCCATAAATTAATTTTCATGTTTATATTCGTTTATAATAATATTTGAATGATATCAAATTAAAATTTAACTATGGAAAATATTGAATATTATTTTCTACAGAACGATTTTCTCTCTCTCTCTCTCTCTCTCTCTCTCTCTCTCTCTCTTATTTGTTAATGGTAATAAAGGGAAAAGATGAAAAGATATTAGAAAATGTTTTTTTTTTGTTAAAAAGAAAAAAGAAAAAAAAACATGGTCAATTTGCTGGATTATTTACGAATGGAAAATTACAATGTTAATAAAGGTGATCTCACTTGCATACCCTCCTTCTTTTCTACCTACCTACCAACCTACCAACCTTCTTTAACGTTTTTTACACACGCGAACTGTACACTTTTTGATTCCACAGTCGTAGGTTTGCATCTCGTTATTATCCGACTTTGCATGGAGAAAACAGGAGGCACGTAGTAGGTGGAGGAACTTTTTAGTAGCAGGATTAAACTTATACTCAGACGAAATAAGAGTGTGCTTCTTTGCTTATTTAGCTTTGGTATTGTACCTTACTGCATGGATGGAGGAAGGGAGGAGGGGACGGGGGGGATGGGGGAATATCTCAAAGGGTCATGAATTTTTTTTTTCTTTCTTTCTTTCTTTCTTTCTTTCTTTCGTTTTCTGTTTTTTTTATTTTTTTTTATTATTATTATTATTATTATTATT